TGTGTACGTCAGTGAGCTTGTGTGTAATGAGATTGTGTGTAGTTAACTGTTTGTAGTGAGCTTGTATATGTCAAAGAGCTCTCTGTAATGAGTCGGTATGTGTGTATAGTGAGCAGTGTCTAGTGATTTTTCTATAGTGAGCTTGTGTGTGAGCTTGTGTGTAGTGAGCGAGTTTGTGAATGTGTCAGTGAGTGACCTTGTGTGTAATGACATTGTATTGTGCATATTAGTGAGCTGTCTGCAGTGAGCTTGTGATCTTGTGTGTGTCAGTGAACCTGTGTGTAATAAGCTTGTGTATGCCATTGAGCTCTGAGTTTCTGTGTAGTTAACTGTTTTAATTAGCTTGTATGTGTCAATGAGCTTTCTGTAGTGAGCTTGCTATGTGTGTATAGTGAGCGGTGTCTAGTGATTTTTCTATGGTGAGCTTGTGAGCTTTCTGTAGCGAGCTGTGTTTAGTGGTGTAGTGAGATTTCTGTAGTGAACTTGCGTGTCTTTGAGTGAGCATTGTGTACATGTCAGTGTGCAATCTTGTGTTTATCAATGTAGTTGTGTGTAGTGAGCTTGTTCTGTGTATCAGTGTAAGCTTTCTGTAGTGATGTGTGTAGTGAGCTTGTCTTTGAGCATACATTACATTGACGTGGACAAAGTGCAGCAGCGTTCACAATGATTTTAACACTCTGATACAAGCAGGCCTTCATACACATATCCTCACACTATATAAAAAAATAAAAGAATGCACACTGTTATTTGAAACATTTATTTAATACTGTTATAAGGGGCCAAGAGGCAATTTTTCCCAGGGGCCCAGAAGGCTGTCAGTCCATCTCTGCTAAGCAGTAATAAACTCATCCGCTGATAGAGATTAGCTCATGCCCTCAGAGACCCTAAACCCTGCATTGCAGCATTAGGGCTAATGGAAGACTCTGCTGAGGAACATCCACCAATGGTAGTAAAGGTGAAGTTTGGCGCCTTCCAGACCCGAGGAAAGAAGTAAAGCCTTACAAAAACTGTTTGACTCCTTACAATAAATGGGACCAGGTCACTAGTGGTCAATAGTGGTAGTAGTAATAGTGCTTGGAGTGTGTCCTTACCATAAAATAAAATAATAAAAGGAGGGAGGGAAAAAGACAAAAAAGTTACCTTTCTTTGTCTACAGATACTTGAACAGGGTATGACTGGTTACTTTTATTCCCTGTGCCCAGCTGGCCATAAGAGTTGGCTCCCCAGCCATATATTCCACCTTCATCTGTTAATGCCAATGTGTGGGCATAGCCACACACAACCTATTTGAGGTTAAGGAAATAAAAGATACTGAATTGAAAATAGTTTTTGTCTTTATTTATGCAATTTACAGGAGAACAAATCTGCGCAAACGTGAAAGTGAAAAAAAAATCTTTACATGTAAAAATGGTTCTAATTGTGGAAAACAAGCAATCAGTCCGATGACATCTGTCAATATCTACAGTGTATTCACCAATATGTAAACTCACCTGTTCCACACGAATGCCTTGAAGAGCTGCAATTCTACATGGCGTTGGCTGGTTACCACTGCTGCCTAAACCGAGCTGACCATTTCCATTATAACCCCATGCATATACCTTCAAAGACACAGCAAAAAAAGATACAATTATCAACAATGTACTATGAAAGAATAGACTTTCTATACTTGGGGTCTCCAGATGGTATTTACAGCTAGACAATGGAAGATAAGAGGGAAACAAATCGTATATGTGATGCATAGTGACACCTACTGTTATACACCTAGAGTGAGCCTTAAACATAGCAACAGAAAAAAAGAGGCTAAACAAAATCTGACCAATTTAAAATATAAATATATAAACATAACAATTTGTTAAAAAGATACATATATTTCCAAAGAAAGAGCATGCAGGGGTCTTCGTAATTTTCTTTTTTTAAGTCCTTATTTAAATAATCGGAAACAAAGTAAATGGCATGACATGGTCAATGCATTTAATGGTTTTCTAAAGTCATTAATTTAAGGCACATATGAAAAAAAATCCAGAATTTAAGAAAGTACGTCTACCTCTCCATTGTCCACGACTGCCATTGAACTCATTTGGCCACAAGCAATTCCAGTTACTATTTTGTTCTGTAAACAACTGGTGACTTTCCTAGGTATTGGCTGATTGGCAGTGGACCCTGAGCCAACTTGGCCAGAATTGTTGTAGCCCCAAGCATACACCTGGTAAGTAAAACAAGAGATTATAATAAATAAAATTTACCTGATTTATATAAAAAAAGAAGATACATTCAATAACAATCACATCCTGACAAATGAAACAAACCACAAACACTATAAGCAGCAATTGTATTAGTTAAACTTGCTCACCAATGTCAAAGGCTGAAAAGGATTTTCCCTGTTGGGAGTCACTGTTATGGACACATGCTTAGTGTAATTTTTGTTTCCCCAACTACTATCCACGGCATCATGCACAAATGGGTTAGATCTGACTCTCAGCAGACAGGACAGGAAAAATATCTTTCAAAGTCTCAAAAAGTAAATATTAGGCCAAAGGTGGGAACTAGAGACAATAATCCAGAAATGTAAATGTAGACATGTAAAGGCTACAAGTACCATATTCAAGCTACAGAATGGCAAGGGTAATTTACCAAGGTCAGACCCCTGGAATACAGTACAATGTGCACACCAAACTCGACACAGCATCCTCACCCCACATATTCAGAAAGGGATGATGATCTGGATATTACTATTTGGCTTTTATATAGCGCCAACATATTTCACAAAGCTGTACCATAGAAGGAATAAAGACAAATAATAAGCACTTACTTATACAAAAATAATAAAAGACATTGCCCATGAGCTTAAATTCTAGCAAATACAGTACTTTTCATAACAAAATAAGGGCAATCTTGGATAACAAACACTGCATCAGGGAAAAACAAAAGTTAGAGAATTAAATCTGCGATGGAAAAATATAGTCAATATGTGCAGAGTATACTGTAGAAAAACCCAAGTAGCATCTCCAGAACTTAGGAGGCTACCAAAGAGAGCACACCTTTGTTTTGCTGTGATAGCACAATAGTGAAAGCCAAAATGACAGGTAAGCATAGATGAAAACCCCTTAAACCAAATAGCTAGTAAAAGGATTCATGTTTTTCAGATAGTATTTAGGTTAAGACAACAAGGCATTGGTATAAAATAGGCTTCTCGAAGCCAGAGAGGCAAAATATGGAAGAGAATGACTGAGATACAGGTTCCATTAAGTCATTGTTACCCTACACATGGCCAATGTCTATTAAATGAGGAGAAGAGAATTTTACTAATTGCTCTAACTCAAATAAACCATCTTTAGTGTTACTCAGCTGTCTCAGAAAAAATTAAAACACGTTTAGAGGGAGATCAGTCTACTGATCACGGCATAACTTTAGCGCGTGAAACCTCAGGAATCTCCAGGATCACTTTTAATATAAGTGCCTGCTATAAGAAAGTAATCCAATGATGTTACACACACTATGATTAAATAGACATGGCAAAGCTAAAACTGGAGGTTTCAGTTTTATTATTTCACAAATTTAACTAATAGCTGGGAATGACATGTGGTAACTGTGACGGAACGCTGGTACGCCGTCACTTGGGCATCAAGGGCTCCTTTGTTTGGGTGGACTCTGGTGTGGAGCAGCAATTTAGACTGCACAGACTTAGACCTAGCCACAATATGGAAAAACAAGATGGTGCGGAACCAGAGACTGTGTGATCACGTGGGTGGGGGATAGGACTTTTCTCTTTGTCACTCAAGGAGCTGAGTCACCTATTGTTGACTGTGTGTTTATCCGTTTACCTAATGCATAATGTTTTACTGTGTATGCAAAGTAGGTGTTCTGAGATGGTGTGTCTTATTGGTTATTAATGGGCTTAGTGTGATTGGCTGTTTGTTAAGGCCCAGTTTGATTGGTTGCTGTTCCAAACCTTTGTGTGTTTACTAATGAGTTTACTTGTATACAAATACCTTGGGCTAGTTCCTGTTCTAATTATAATATAGCAAGCTTAGATGCTTTGTCCTGCCAGAACACCCCAATAGTTGAACAGCGGGGCGTAAGGGGCAGCGCAAAGCCTTGTGGTCAGCTGGTGTGGTCAGCTCCACCAAGGGCTTGTACCCTAATGATTTACAAAATAATGAATAAGATCTCCACCTGGGGAGATCTTGAAATGCTGACAAGGATAATAAATGGACAAATATGAGATACCAGTACAGAAATAAGAATAGCCAGTCTGGGGATCTAATAGAAGGGAAGAGAAACAGGGTCCGGAACATCACAACATGACTGTTTAACGAGATACCCTTAAATATTCTAATTGGGCTAGATTAGAAATTGAAAATAAAAAAATCTTTATTCGGTAATAAGGTAAAGCTAGCCAAAAGTGCCCCCTAGAGGCAATACAAAAGGGAGGAAGCTCTATTCTAAATCCCTTCTATGAAACTTGTGAATAGTAGAGATAAGGCTGCAGTCTAAATGTACTCATCCAAAGTAGATATAATAAATGTGACTAAATCGTATTAAGGACAAAATATAGGGTTGGAAACTGCTGGTAGAATGATAGAGGAGCAGTGATCCCTATTGAGAGTGGAAATGGAGGAAAAGGGATAGTAGGGCAAAAGAGGAAGGGGGGGAAAGTAAACACCCTCCCTGGTACACTAAGTATAAGAGCCTCAAAAGAAGGGGTCCCTAAGCTCTGTGAAACACCTTCGTGGGTGTTCTAATCTAAATGCTCACTCTGAGGAGTGATCGTCCACTGCCTATTGTTAGGTATGGAAGCCTCCAAATAAATCCCTAAGCTCTGTAAGACACCTTCGTGGGTGTTCTGATCTAAATGCTCAGTCTAAAAGGGTATCGCCCACTGCCTAATGCTACAGGATCCCCACTGGCTGAAAGTAGATAGAAAAGAAATAAAGTTACTTTAAGTGTACATCCTTATCGTGCCTAACCCATTGGTGTACGTAAAAAACAAAAAATGAAAATAAATGAAGTCAAAGCATGTCGGTGGCCCGACGCGCGTTTCGGTGTATAACACCACCTTCGTCAGGGGCTGAGGAAACGCCGGCTAGAAAAGCCGGGACTTTTAAATGATCTGGGAGCCAATCATCAGGGGGGATTCCCTATTGCCGCCCACAACGAATCGTCACGGATGACGTTCGGGATAGTCCTCACGTCATCCGTGACGCTGGATCCCACGTGAGCGTATGGGGAGGGGCGGGGGCGGATGACATCGTTGTGAGTGACAGCGATGTCTAAGTCACGTTCTTCTCCGATCTAATGCATCGGGATACATTCATCTAAGGACGTGCATGTAGTATGCTGGATGGGAGTTTAAGAGGACCCCCAAAGCTACTGTTACTGTGTGACAATGTGGAATACGATTGGGAGAAAGTGAAGGATACTTTATATGACACCATTAAATAGTTACTTGGTATATGTTATATTGTTTATAATCATAACGATGATACAAGAGTGGTTCACATTAAGTGGACAATCTGGATGGTCCCATTAATCTAGTTAATCAGGGGTGATTTAGTTCCTGTTCTACCCTCAAGCTGTGTGGGTCTGATGTTCTTGGTGGAGAGGTGTTAGCTGACTGAACCTTCGGGAACAGGCTGACATCTGTGGTTTGGCTGGCGGGAAGAAGCTGTTCAGATGGGTGTGCTCAGTCGGGGCACTGGGGAACCCCTCACAGTAACCAACATTACAAGCTTCTGCAAGTAAACGGGGACATGTTACCTCTGCAGAAGAAAGAACTGAGAGACAGGCTTCCAACTTCTCAATCATAAAGCCCTTACTATAACAATACAGAGGTACATATAGATAAGACAGGTGTAAAAGAAACTCTGATACAGCTCAGGTGACTATATTTTCCTCAGCCATGGCTATTCAGAAGAATCTAATAACTGTGGTGCACAACAATGGTATTGTATGACCATACTTTGTCTGTCAATGCTAATGCTGTTGCTACACACTGGCATAGGGACACTGTAGGCATTATAACTGCTACTTATCAATGTGTGCCATCCTTCTGTTTACTGTTGAACAATTTTTGATGTTTTAATGCTGAAAGACAGTCCTCAACAACCCATTTCTTCTGTGTGACTCAAGTTAATGAGAAAGCAGTAGCTTGAACATCAATGGGCACTACCTGATTGGTTTAGAATGTCAACTTACTGCTTTCAGCTAATCACAGCCACCCTTTGATGGTATAAATTGGTATGGTTTATGAAAATGTAATCTCTGCCTTGTTGTAACCCCAGTGGGGGCCTGGTCCTGGTCTGGGCAGAGAAAGACTTTTATTCAGTTTGATATTGCTCAAAATGGTTTAGAAGAAACACTATAAAGTGAGGAATACAAAAATATATCCCTAATGCCATAGTGTTCCACAAACCATTAAGATGTTTGTCCCCCCACTCCCGCACAGAGAAAAGAGGTTTGATTTTCCTTTTAGCCTTTGATGTGCCGGTCTTGCCGCAACAACCCTGCACGAGATCATCAATATAATATAATTTCAGCTAATCAACGGACATGAGACTAGTGTGCTTATGTGGAAAATCGCCGTAACAAGCAGCATCTCTTTGAGCTACAATTAATCAATGCATCTCTATGGGGAGCATTCAGCCTCTTGTTGGTCCTGCAAGCTTTGCCTCTTTCCCTACAGAAGCTGTTGGAATGAGAACCAATAGTGGTGGCCTTCGGCAGCAATGTACATGCTACTTTTTCTTATAAAAGGTAGTGTTTTACAATGCTGAGCCAGGCTACATGCCCCAAAACAACATTAGAAGATACAAACATGTATTCCTAACACTATGGTGCTAGAATACATATTTAGGTTTCCAGTCTCCCTCTCTGTGGTGTAAAAAGGTGTTAAACGTACCTTTTCTCTAACGCTGCACCAGTCTTGCCCCGGCTTGCCCTCCCCTTCGATGAAGATGACCAATCTTGATGATCGCAACCAATTTAATGCTTTCCCATAGAAAAGCATTGGGAGGCTACTGTGCATGTGCTCCAAAAGTGTCATGCTGCGACAATCAGCACCTCCTCATAGAGAAGCACTGAATCAATGCATCTCTAGGGGAAGCGTTCAGCAACTCCATGCAAAGCATGGAGACGTTGCACGTAAATTCAACACTGGACTAGGAGCCATCTGAATGACTGCTACGAGAGGTGTTAATAGGCAGCAATGTAAATGCTACCTTTCCTCTGAAAAGGCATCGTTTACAGAGTTAAGACTGCAGGGACATGCAATACACATCATGACCACTATAAGCTATAGTGATTCTGATGGCTTTAGATTCCCTTTAAGTTGTAGTGGATCTGGTGACTAGAGTCTGTTTATCACAGAGGGACAGCAAAAGGGGACTCTAAGCACGATAAACAATAAGATAAAATGATAAACTAGATGCATGCAGTTCCCATAGGGGCATAAGCATCATTACAACTAATTATATGGAAAGACATATACGGCTTAAAGGAACACTATAGCATTATGAATACAACCCCCCACAAGTGTTGAAAACCCTTTAAAATACTTACCTTAATTGCAGCGCTGAGTTCTTTTAGTGGTGGCTTTGTCTCCTCCTCCAGCAGCGTCATGCCAATGGAGGACTTAATGCTGTGCATGCATCAGAACTTCACCACAGAAAAACAAATAAGCTGACTATTTTTCTTGTATATAGGTGAAATCCAAAGGATAATCAAGTGTCTATAAGTATACTATATACATATTACTATTGCACTCCTCTATCTTTGTTTTTACCAGAGAGCTACTAGTTGCACAAAAAAAGGTGATCAGGACCTGACAGACAACAGCCAAGTTGTCAAACCGTTATTAGTTATTCAAAGAATGGATCCCAGATTATGCCATGGATATTACAGCCAGAACTGGGTGCACAAAAAGTCAGAACATGGACATGATTAATAACATCTAACAATTGGCATTTTAAAATATCAAGGTAGCAGACCTTATCGTCTTGTGTTTGTTTTCTTGTCCATTTATGCAGACCTGTTGGTATGCGGTACAACCCAACACACAAACATAGAGGTGAACTGACTAAGAAGGTATCAAAGAGAAAAATAAGATATTAGATGCATTTGTTAGACCTTAGAATGACAGTCAGAAATTAATACCTCTAAGAAGACAGAAGTATTGAATACACAAAGGCAGCAAACTAGTCAGGATACCAAAAAATGTATGCCAAGTCAAATCAGGTCACCAGAGAGAAGAATAGTCTAACACGCCAAGTCAGATAAACCAAATAGATAATACAACAATAATGTTTTTAAAGATCAATAAAACCAAGCAATGGCAATGAGTTTCAGGCGGTTTCTATATTATACATAATAAGATTACATTGTGATTCAACACTTCTTTGCACCTGAAGAGGCTAGTGTTCATCCAGTATGCACAACAGCCGTATTTACTTGTATAGAGTTTAGAAATAAGGAAGTAGTGTTCGAATGAGTATTGATCAGGAACCATCTAAGTAGTCATGAACAATACCTGCAAGCATTGCAAGTTATCTCTGCATGTTCTTTTATACCTTAGTTAAGCTATAACTGTCCATTTTCTGTCATCTTTTGCAGACTTTCTCAAGGTTTAAGCTAGACATGTGCAATTAGTTTCGTTCCGAATGCAAATTGGGCCGAATTTTGGAAATTTGGACATTCGGATGCTTCTTAATGTCCGAAGTGCCAAATTTCGGAATGCCGAACTGAAGTGCTGAAGTGCTTTGGATTTCTGAAAATTGGCAAAACAGGAGAGGGTTGGGGTAGGATAGAGGTAGGGTTAGGTTTAGGGGTAGGGTTAGTGGTTGGAGTAGGGTTAGGGGTAGGGTTAGGAGTAGGTTTAGGGGTAGAGTTAGGTGTAGGGTTAGGGTAGGGTAACCCTAACCCTACCCTTAACCCTACCCTACTCCTAAACCAACCCTAACCTAACCCTAACCCTACCCCTAACCTAACCCTACCCCTAACCCTTCCTCACTTACCCAAAGTCCTGAATTCCTTAAGTTCCAAAGTGCCAAAGTTCTGAATCGAACCAAATATTTTTCCCATGCACATCCCTATTGTGTGCCCATAATCACTCTAATAATCAAAAGGAACCATTCCCTTCTGTTGTACCTCTTCCACTTTGGCCAACAGTTTGTCAGGGCCTGGGATCTATGACGTGTTAAAAAATAACATTGGTTAGCTTGGCAAAGGATATCGGCATCCTGATTAACTCATTCCAACCCACACTGCAGATGCTTAGCTGGATTGAGAGTTGGCTACGAGTAAGTTCACAGCAGTATTCATCAGATCTGTAAAGAAATTCTTGGACAATCACTTTGCTTGGGCTATTATCCTGATAATATTCTCCTTTCCCGCTACTGTAACGTACCGGACTAGTAACAATTAGCAGATACAGTGAGTAGATGGATAGCGTTATCTGAATCATCTTTTGAACTTGGGACCACTGGCAACAGCTTTATTCCACTTAATTTCCATATTGTGATATAATTTATATTAAAATGGTACATTCACATTCATTTTTAAAGCCTTGAGAGTTAAAAGGCAATGGTAAAAAGGAAAAATATGCCTTTATGATTTAAATTAGGCTTCGTTTAAAAAAAGAGCAACCTATTTTATCTCCGCTAATGGGATATTAACACTGTGTAATAATTCCAAATTGAACATTTATTATTATTATTTTTTTAAACATCATTTACATCATCATTTTATTTTCTGCTTTATGATTAGATCATTTGGCTTCTGATGGTATTATTTTAATGAGGTAGCTTCCATTAATTTACTATTTAAATGGATGCGACTTAGGCCTTGTGCTGTGATCTGCTGCAGGGAAGAGAAGCCTGCTGAGAATACTTCCTGGACCTTGAAGCAGCACATTAATGAGGCACTTTCCTAATATGAGTGCACGTCAGGCTTATAATCAGAGCACAAGAGACACACAAACTGACAGATACATTCATTAATTTCATGAACTGCCATCTCTAATCTTCATCCAAACACGATTCCCATTGGAGACTAACCATAGTGCTTATTAGCAAAAGAATACATTTAAAAAAAAAAAAAAAAAGCACAGATGACACAGAAAAATGCCTACATTTCAATTTGTTTCACAGAGTGAATAGTTAGAAATGTACGCAGTGTGTTGATTGATATTGGTGTGTGCAGCTAATGTCACAACTGGAATCTGGATATTAAGTTAACACGTCAAATGCCATAACAGACACAAGGAAGGTTTTATACTGTAAGAGCATGCAGGCACAAGGTACTCAGGTACCACTTTCTGAAATAAAAACACACTATTAAACAAAATGTGTTTCCAGATCAATGTTTATTTGGATCACAAAGACATACCACAAATAGTTGTTCTTTTGAGGAATGGGGATGTTTTGTTAAGGGGATACTCAAAGCTCTATATTTAGTAGAGTAAGAATAAACAATATTGAAATAAGTATTCCATGATTTTGTGTATGCTAGTATATGTAAATTAACTCATAGCCACATGTCACATATCGGGGGGTATGAAATATTGAAGGACAGATCTGTGATATGATATTGATGGATCAAATCTCTGCTTCTACTGACACTAGTTATACTTTTTCACTAGGACAGGATAAATGGTAGGCATCTGGGATTAGAATGTTGACTTTGCCATCACAAGGTATTTAATTAAATCTATACCTTTCTGAAGGTGAACTTGCCATCCACATGATTTGAAGATGACAGGCTGTCTTTATCAGATTATATCACTTGGCAGATGGATCGTAACACCTAAATGTTTTTAGTATGTATGACACAAGAAACACACCATGGTAGAAAAGAAAGTACAGGTGATACTCGTAAAATGCAATGTAAAAGGGGAAACTAATATATGAGATAGACACATTACATGCAAAGCAAGATAGTTCAAGCCGTGATTTGTCATAAGTGCGAATTTAATTTGCTAGCACTGTATTTAACCCTGTAACTTTCCATGACATGCTAAAACCTGCGGTGTTTTTGAAAGTTACAGGGTCAAATGTAATGCTTGATTTTCCGTTTTTTCACATTAAAATTTGATAGATTGGTTATGTTGCCTTTGAGACCATATGGTAGCCCAGGAATGAGAATTACCCCAATGATGGCATACCATTTTCAAAAGAAGACAACCCAAGGTATTGCAAATGGGGTATGTTCAGTCTTTTTTAGAAGTCACTTAGTCACAAACACTGGCCAAAGTTAGCATTCATAATTGTTTTTTGCAATTTTTAACACACAATTAAATATAAATGCTAACTTTGGCCAGTGTTTGTGACTACTAAAGTGGCTACTAAAAAAGACTGGACATACCCCATATTGAATACCCTGGGTTGTCTACTTTAAAAAAAATGTACGGGGGCATGGCTTGGACACGGAGCGAGCTGGACGCGTTTGCTTGAAGCTCTGCTCAGACCACACTGTAAACAGCTAACAAAGGCATGCAAATACACGGGAAAAGTCACACACCGACTCTCACTGATACCCGGGGACATGGAGAAGAGACCGGTCAAAAAAACAAACCAAAAAAGGATCGGAGGGAGGAGCCTCAGTCGCGGAATACTTTTCGGCACCACGTGGCAGGACCGCAGGCTCACAAAATGGCGGGGACAACAACATGGATAATGCAGACACTTCGGCCCTAATAATACAGGGTGAAGCTATGCTACCAGCCACAGACACAGCACGAATACTGCAAACACTGGCTGAAGTCAAGGCATACCTGGCCGGGGAAATAGTCCAATCCACAAAGGTTGGTACGCATCCAACAACGGGCATGGCCTGCCTTGCAAATAGGGGACTACGGAACGGGCCCACGATTGACTGTGGATCGAGGCAGCACTAGATGGACGCACCACCTGCCCATGCCCCGGGCATATATAATAGGGGCAAAGGACTTATATGGGACACTGGTGTCTGGGGGGAGGGGACGAAGATGGGAAAAAAAAAACACGGGGGGAAGAAAAAAAAAGGAAAACGGGGGGAACAAATTATATCAAAAAAGGGGAATCCATCTGTACATAGTTATCCACCACACACCACGGGAACGGGGACAGAGGTACGGAGGGGGTGAGACAACACAAGGTAGTCACAGTATATGTAACCTGATTGATAGCAGTAGTTATGGGGGCAGATAGATGGAGTGGTGACTGCCTACCAGCAAAACGTGGGAGCCTAATCCTGTCACCTCCCACATGGCAGCGTACAAGACACAAAGGTACCATTAGCTACTTAGCACACCGGACCCACAACTTCTTGGCTGGGGTTATTCACAGACAGCACACGGGCACACCGGTCGCCATGGAAACGACACCAACATGTAGGCCCAAGGCTGCACTGGAACCAGGGATCTGTGGCCCACACCCTTTGGGAGGGGTTGCAGGGCCGCAGTGACGTAAAATGGTAACCCCAGGCACTTGTAGGAACACCGACACATCCTGGCTGGGAGGGGAGTCCCCCCGTGCAGACTCTCACACACTACCAGGCAACCTCCATACCATCATGGCGAGGTACCCGAGCAGCTGCGTCTGCATTGAAGCACAAGGTGCAGGGCGGGAGGCCTGGATACCATTAAG